AGCATTTTCTACCAATGTTTTTAAGTCTGTAGCAGGCTGGTTGATAACAACATTTGCAACTTTTCTTCTCTTTTCTTCTGGTTCCCCATCAGTGCTATCATTGCTGAAAAGGAACAAGTATGAGTTCATGAACTAAAAGCATGGTTTAGGGGAAGCAGTTACTTCTACAACTGAAGTCTTCAGATACAATAAAGTGTGGTAAGAATACAAAACAAAGAAGTTATCGCTGAGGCATATGCAAAATAGGTAAGTTTACATTTAAAAAAAAATAAATCTGTGAGGACACAGCAGAATGCTGTCCCAAGTTGGCAACCCTTCTCAGCCTTTTCCAAGAATTACAGAAATTCTTAAATAAAGATAAGGAAAGAATTTTGTTGACTGCTTGTTATAAACACAGTAGGTACAATAATACGCCATTATAAACTACAGTGAGGAACACAGCCTACATCAGAAAGTTATATCCTAAATTTTTAGTTATTGTTTATCTTCTTAAATCCCCCATTTTCATGCACTATTCTCAAGCCATATTTAACAACACGGACAAGCCACGAATTTTAACTGTAGCATCCCATTATTTCAAGATCCCTCTGAAGCTAGGTCCTTAATGAAGCTCTACTTGGAATAAATACGGTATGCACGCTTTTTACCATCAGCACAATTAGCATGTAAAAGATTAAGATGCAAAGACTGTAGGAAGTTTTTCAACAGAGAAATCAAACCACAATCCCAGCTTAACCAAAATGAAAGCAAACCAGTTCACTGTTGTACCTCTTCTCATTAGCTTCCACTGCGTCTCTGGATCTTTGCTTTGCAAATAGCTTGGCCATTCTTTTGGCTTTATTCTTTTGTCTACTGCTCATACCAGCTCGAAATTCTGAGTCAATTAACTCAGCAGCCTGAAGAGTCTGAAAGAGAAGTCATTCATTATCAATTCTTCTTACAACGAAGGTCCTGAAAAATTCTCAAACCCACATTGCTCTCAACTTCCCCAACCCTCCATTTCAAACTCTGAGCACCAGTTTGACATCGAATAATACTAACATGCAGCTATGGGGCATAAGAATTCAGGAAGCCAAAGCATACCATATTAGATGTTGATCATCATTCTTAAAATATAAAGATTATAACTGCAGAAGCACAAATAAAGCAAACCCACTGTATTATTCCTTGCAGTCAAACAGCCCAAGGTTTTACCTACAGGTTGTTTGTTTACTAGTGAAACTGAAGAAGGAGAATAGTCCAGATCTTCATCATTGAACAGATCTTCAGTATTCATCCCAATTGCAGCACCCATATCTAAACCAAGCTTCTTTTGTAACAATTTCCTCTGTCGTGCTATCCTCTCTTTAGGATCAATTTCACCTGAAAAAGTTTTTTAAAAAAGGGAAGATGTGTCAGATTTCCAGCCAGATGTATTATTGAAGATTTGCTCAATGAAGTAGCATAAGGAAGCAAAAGTTACAGAATTAAACTGTATTCTCCTAATACATCAATACAATCTTTTAAACCAAATCACATTGATTCCTAGACAGACCTTGTCTACTGCTGAAACTATAGTAGTACTTAAACTGTGATCAATTTTTAAGCAGAAAATAGTTCCCCTGAAATTCAATAAATTACTCTCAGTCTACAGAAGTAAAAAAACCCACGAGTTTTCCCAAAAATTTTAGGAAAGTGCACTTTGAAAGGAGCAAATTAACACATAAAAAAATAAATCCAGCAACTGATTCAAGAACGAGCACTTTTTTATTAAGCACATGCATCCTTGTGGGATCCGTTGATTTTGGCAGTATGTCTTCTGGGGTTTGGTGATTTTTTGGGTTTGGGTTTTTTTTTTTTTTTTGGGAGGGGAGTGGGGGTGTGTTTGTTTTTTAAAGGTTTCTTTTCCTCCTAAACATCTATCTTCTGTTGGGAAACACAGACCTAAGAAATACCAACTAATAGAACACCTCAAATGATATTCAATCCAATATCCTGTAATAAGCTAGTCTGAATCTGAACCTGTGCTCTTCAGAAACATTCTTCTTCGTAAAATGCACTAGACCCAGGTATGTCCTTTCATTCTGCCCACACAAACTTCAGATGACAATGTATGAACTTCACTGAAGTATAAGCATGATTTTCCTAGGGTGCTGGAGTCTGCTAACAATCTTATCCCCAATTTTCACATGTCAAGCAAGGCTCATTTAGGAAATTAATAGAAGCTACCTGAAGAATGCTGTGAAGCTTCAACACTTTAATTACTGAGCACCTAAACTTTGGGAGCACCCACATTTACATAAAAAATGGAAGGTTTTAGTGCCCAAATATAATAAACCCTCCAAGTAAATCAAAACTTGTAGCTTGTAGGGCTGTCAGTTTCACTCTCTTTTTACAGGTGCAGTATGGAAACCAGTCCAGAGACTCAGGCTCTTTTTTCTAAATTATCTGCACACAAACTTTTAAGTAGGTGACCGATATTGGCAGAATTTTGGGGCATACACCAGGTTGAGCAGTAATTAGTAGCTAATGATGTCTATACCAATAAGCCTTTTTTAAAAAAAATTCATTCAACTGACAAGCAGAGAAATACAACCATCTTCCATTCTCTAGAAAATATTTTTCCTTTCACAAGTTCATCTTAGGAAAAAGTGTCAAAGACTGCCAATTCTAAAGATTATTTAACTTGCTTTATGTCCATTCACATTGGCTACTTACTTGAAAAGGAAAGCTGCTACAAAATGCAGAAGAGAACCACCTTTGTTAAAAAAAGCAGCAACTAAAGCTATTTTTAGCCTCATTTTCTTATTTTTTGAGACTATGTTTTTCATTTATTTTAATTCATAAAGTTTTTTACATGCGATCAGATGACACTGGGATAACTATCAGACTTCTAAGAACTAAAGTGTCCTACTCCACCTATTTGATTTCTGAACAGGCAGGGTTTCATTAGAGAAGATAAAACTTGTACACCACCTTAATAATCTAGCATAAGAGATGGCAAGCAATAAAATAATAGCCAGGCTTAACAGGTTGCTGCTTAAGTGTCAGCAGCCATAGGCTCTGTTCCTCGCCGAGCTAGTGATCTTCTGTGTACACTGCACATAACGCATGACACAGGGAACAAGTGAATCTGGGCTATGCAGTCAGAGCGTATTCTTGTCTATAGCATCATTTCATTTGGTGCAGAAACTGGAAGAAGGACTGGAATTAGAGCAAGAAAGTACAGTAATAGCAAAAAAAATCTTGGATTAAAATAATTCAATTCCATTACAATGACATAAACCAACTCTCTCAGCTAAAAAGTTGCAGAAGGACACCAGACAAGTCAAATGAAATAAAAGACATCACACAGGCACTGATATTTGACCTTCCAACTTTGACAGTTTTAACACAGTATTTTCACGCAATCTTTCAGGCAATCTTTCTACATTTGGGTCTCCTTCAAGCTTTCAAATAAGCCATATCCTATTACCATATTTGGGAACACTGTTTTTATGAAGAAAGTCGTGACAGTTCCTGCACCTCTTAAAAAGGTCTATGGAATTTCTATAGAAGCTTTAATATTGCTTTTTACACTCTCTTCCAGGTTTCCACTCTCCCCCTCCCCCCTGTACACATACTAATTCTGATAAGAGAAAAAACAAACAAATACATACTCCCTAAAAAAATATCTTCTTCTGTTATTTCCTAGCATTCTGAGAAGCCATGGATGACTAGACTCATAATACTGGCACAACAAACTTTTTCAAATCAGTAAGTTTTCTTGTCTGAAGTAAAATATAAAGATATACCTGATTTATCATCTTGGACTTCAAATTCTGCACCAGCAGATCCAAGAAGAGATGCACCATGTTTTAACAACCGACATATATCAAATCTGTCAAAACGCAACCGATCTGTTGAAGGTGAATCTTCCATAGGACTCTCTGAGCCTGGTTCTAGATAGGATATTGAAAATAAGGACAACATGATGAAATTTTTGTTCCAAGTTCTGGCAGAAGATTAAGTGAGAGAAAGAAAGAGAATTTCTCTCCTCCAAATGAATCACTGGACATACAGCACTTCTGTTTCACAAAGAAAAACTGAAAAAGCTCACTTAACACATTTAATTGAGTAGAAAAAATGTTTAACGTTTTTCACTTAATAAATTCGGCTTTTTTAAAATCTTGGACATTGACATGTCACTAGGTCTTTGTACACATATGGCAAACTTGCAGTTTGAATGGCATATGGCTCACAAATAGATCAAACAAGTATCATGCCAACACTATATCATATCACCAAAAGACAAGCATCCCTGGTATGGAAGCTGGAGAGTAATCTTAACAGGTATGGCAGAAAGTCAGCTACCAAAGGCTGCTGAAGACTAGTTATCAGCTCTTCTCAAATCCAGTTGCAGGTACAGTGCAGTTCAATACTGATACAGAAGATATTTGTTCCTCACAAGGTGTCTTATTTCCTGGTTATGAATTCACTTCCAAAGTATTCCCACCCCTCACCCAAAAATTAGTGTTTTGTGGCTCCTAGTCACATGCAGCTTAGCGTCCAAAGAGATTGGCCATTCCTACATAACCCAGCATGCTTCAAATCCTGAATTACAACCAGCAGTATAAATATAACTGCTGCCTACAAGAAACACAGCATTTAATTTAGTGTTTTCCACCCCATGCTCACACTTACATATGAAACCCTGTTCATTTACAGTAGAATGAGTCTTAAGTGTACACAGAACACAGTACAAAATAAACACCACCTACATTTCTTCAGACCTGAAGAAAAAGTTAACATTTCATGCACACATACAAAAAGTGATTTATAGCAAGCCTAAGAACCTAAACTCAACCAATCGAACTATTGTAAAACTTGTGTATTTGACTACTACATCAAGCAATTCAACTGAAATAAAAGAAGCAAATGTCTGCACAGACAGCTAACCCTGTTAAATGCTATCTTTTCCTCAAACATACATAATCACCTTTTCAATTTCATATCTGACAGGCAGATATGCAAGAAGTGGACAATGTACATAACCCATCGTTCAAAACAGCTGCCGTACTCAAAAGACTGACAGGTCACCCAATTTCCATGTACAAAAGGAGTGTGGCAAGTAATTCCTGGAACTAGACTGGTGAAATTAACTTCGATCCTTGGTAAGATAGTAGAGTCTATAATTAAAGTTATTAAGTATATGGATAAACATGATTTACTTGTAAAGAGTCAGAATGACTCCTGAAAAAAAAGCCCCTCTCATTCACCTTGATTATCAATGTCTTTAGAGCACCAACAAGTGGATAGAGGGGACCCAGTGGACATTCAAAAGTTTTTGGCACAGTTTCATACCAAAAAATTGGAGGAACCAAGAACTGGTGAAAACATCCTTTTACAGACTGAAAGCTGGTTAAAGACAGATAAAAATTAGCTTTGAAGTCCTTCAGAGATCAGCATTGCAACCAATTCTATCAGTCTTTAGCAATGGGAAGGAGATTTCACTACGCACTCTTCTCCAGGCATGTAGATGACACGAAGCTTTTTTTGGTAAACAAAAGTCACAATGGCACCAAAAAATTCAAGGAGGACTCTTGGAACAGACTAATGGGCAAAGAGGCAGAGAAAGTGCAAAATTAATAAACTAAACCATGCCTACACAATGCTGAATTCAGAACTGGCAGTTAACATTCAATGAAGATCTGAGGCACTTCTGATAGTTTTCTGTATTCACCAGCTCATTGGGCAGTGACAGACAAAACAGCCAACTAAGTACTTGGCATCACCAGGAAGGACACTGAAAACATGACAAAGTGCATCTTTTTGCCACTATGTATAAATATCAGTACTCTAGAGATGTAGGTACACTGTGTGCAGTTCTGTGCATCTCAAGCAGCACACAAGAAAAAGCATAGAGAAGGACAAAAAGTTATCTAAAAGATAAAGCAGCTGTCTTCTGAGGAAAGACAGAAGAGACAGTGACTCCTCAATCCAGAGAAGTTGTTGTAGGAGAGCAAGTATGATGGTTTACAAAAATCATAAAGACAGGGGATAAGGCAAATGCAGAACTTGCTTGTCAAATTCTATAGTAGCAGGAAACACTGCCTGAAACAAATATGAGATCACCTCATACTCAGTTTTGTAGGGTTATTTTTTGGTGGGGTTTTTTTGTGGGTTTTTTTTTGTTGTTGTTGTTTTTTGTTTGTTTGGTTGGTTTTTTTAACCAGTTAGTGACTTTCTGGAACCTGTGCCACATAAGGTTGTGAACATACTGCCAACGGGTTTAGACAAAATCACCAACAATAGGTCCATAAGTTGGCAATAAGAGGAACTCTAACATCCCTAACATGACAATTTCAGATGCAAACAAGCTGTCATTTCACCTCCTTCAGAAAGGTGCTTTGAGCAAGGCAACAGAGAAGAAAAGGAGTGTCTGCAAGATATCATGACAACATTGATTGGTTAAAGGTTTTGCCACTTCACTAGTTATTATTCCTTTTCTTTATAAAAGCTTTATAAGGGTACAGAGCACTAGCACGAGAACCTTAGAAGAAACAAAGGTCAGGCACATTGCTGTAACTGAATATGAACATCTAGAGCAAAGATGTTTACTAGTCTATGCATATAAGAGAAGTCTATGCTCATTAAAAATCAGAACGACATAGTTGCCTTGAAAAGCCTCGTATCACCGTCAGTTTGCATCAGATAAACAATGAATTAATATAATTATTTAAGAAGCACCTTGTTTTGATCTTGGAGTTGGATTCCACTCAGGTACATTTTTCACTATTGCTTCAACAGCCTGGCCAGCTGCAATACGAGTATCCCAATTCGTACTTCTTAAGTATACCAACACCTTTAAGGAGAGATTAATAAATAAATATTTGCTTAAAATGTACTTTCAGAAAATCCATCAGCTGTTAGGCTCTATTAAAACACACTTACTTTTAATGCTATGGATTAAGACAACATTCAACACAACAAAACCAAAGGACAAGAAAACAAACCAAAGACATGCAAGCATCCTTCTCTATAATGCTCACTGTTTAGCAGAACTCATGCCATAGCCAGACATTAAGAATTTATAAGATATATTTAGTCCCATCAAACTCAACCTTCATTTCCTCCAAGCACTGAACAAGACTTCAGACTTTTGTTTTTTGCTTTCTAAAAGGAAGTGTTCAAAAGAGACTAATAGACCTTAAAACTCTGAAGTCATTTAACCCAAGAAGAGGGACATCATGGGTCATTTGAAGCAACATATGCTCTTCTAAATTAAATTTCCCACTATGTCCCAAATCTGGAAAAACTATTTCTTTCTCTGAAACTGGTTTGATATTCATGATTCCTTGGCCTCCCTGTTGATGCTATCAGTTGTGGTGAGGGCACCTGTTCAACAGAGAAGAACTGAGGTCACTCAGCCATCTCCAGCTGTCAGACACAGACTATTTTTGGTGTTTTTACTAGACTTGGCCAGACTGAAGTCTCAAACTAACAGAAACCTCTTTACATTTTCCTGCTCTTGTAAAGACAGGGAGCCTCCTATATTTTTAATGCTGTATCACACAAGTAACAATCTTTAAAGGCAGGAGCAGAAATTTTTATAAGGCAGTAGATCTTCTCTTTATAGAAGAAATTCTGAATTTACAGCAAACATTGAACATCAATACTGAATGCAAAGTGAAACCTCACTTATGCAATCATTTCAGACGCTGACAAACCAGCAGGCTTAGAAGTAATTTTTTTTCAGTCTCCTATTTTTGGAGAATACAAGCCTATTATGCTTTTTCTTCTTCCCACAGAACCCACAACCCTTTAAACTAGTTTTATTCTCCCTATTAAAGTACCGGGAAAAAAAAAAAAAAAGTTGCTTACTTTAGATAAGAGATTATTCAGTTCATGAGGATGCAGTTTCACTACTTCCCCAAGTTGCTGTGCAGCTGCTTTTCTTGTTACTGGTGTTGTACCGGTGTCCAGTAAAATAAAGAGACGATCAAGCCTAAATATGATTGACAAAAACTGAAAATGTTATGCTATTCATAGTTCAGCTGCCCATTTCTATTAATATTCCCCCACATTTTTCAGTTTATCTAATGTATATAGAAGAAACGTTTGCCTGAAGACTATCAACTGACAGGGTGACAAGTGTACTTTTTTTCCCCTCATAGTAAGCATAGCTGTTCTAAAAGCACATTTAATTTGGTAAGCAAAAAAATTAGAGAAATTGTAGAAACATTAGTTTAAAAAAATCTGCAGTTACAAGAGAAAAATTTAAATTGTTGCCTTTTCTGTTCTGTGATAGAACACTCTCAATCTTGAAAAAGAAATACTGTTAAGTTGTAAATGATCTTCAAATTCTGACAGAGAAAGCAAAGGGCTCAACTGCTCATATTGTGAATTATCACTTCTTTTGAAGACATAGCCTGTGATCTATAATATCCAACTCTGCTTTTCCAGGATAGCACAAATTTTTACTTTTCACATATTTCCCTCCTAACTACCTGGAATATATAAGTCCAAACCTGTTGTTGTATATTCAGCTTTGAAATAGTTTGATCCCTCTCACTTTTGCACAAAATAGAAGAATTTAACCAGCAGATCTGTATTTAGTGAAAGAGACCCCGATCATCTATTTTCAGAATAGTAAACAAGAAAGCTAAGAGTTACTGAATGAGAAAGTCATCATATTAAAAAAAGCACATAAAAATAGAGACTACTTAGATAATCAATGACGAAAGTAACAAACGTTCATTATTCCCTCCACTATAAACGGGACAGTTAGAACTACTTACAGGGTGCCTAGTTTATCCATTAGTTACTGGGTGGTATGAGGTTATTACTGAATGCAAATAGAATCTGTCCACATCATACAATCTGAATTGCCTGTTCTAGCCTTAATCATAAAAATACTCCTCCAAATATTGCAACAATATGAAACTGGAATTTACACATCAGTGAAGCTCACCTAGATCAGCCTAACGAAATAAGGATACAGGTATCCTGCACAACTCCCCTTCCTCGTAAACACATACACTAGGTTTGAGCAAATACAGGAAAGGACAAATGTTTTGCCTGTTAGTCTCCTGCTCCTAATTACATTTCACAAAAATTGCCTTTAACATTAGTTCCAATCACTTAAAAAAAAAACACCCCCTCTTCCCATCATCAGTGGATTCTGTATTTTGACTCGCTTAAACTGCACTTATTCCTGAGAATATCTTATAATGTGTCACAATGTATTAGAAACATCAGTGCTACAGAGCCAAGGCAGTAATGTCACAGAAGCACAGTTCGAAAACCCAAATGCTCTCATAACTAACCAGAGGTACTAGATTAAAAATCCATTAGATTACAAAAATTTCCACCTGTAAGTATTTCAGATCAAGTATTTTAGACACACTTCTAATATTTGCCAGCTTTGAAATAGTTCTTACTACTAAAATAGGTGAACCCATTTCAATTTCTGTAGATAAAACTGAAGTCTCAACTGCTATGATTTACTAGCTAGTAAATTGTTTAAAAAGTTACACAAAAATGAAAACCCAAACATATCTAAACCAGCAGTTTGTGTGATCACAGTCAAGGAGGAAAGCTAAAGATTTACAGATCCAGCTCTTCTAGATCACTGATAATGTACTAGTCAGAAGGAACACACCAGATACTTTGTTATTTATCAGTATTTTTTCCTTAGTACATTTGACAGTAATAACCCAACCTGATTTGCAGCACTCAGTATTATTCAGCAATAAATATGCCAGCTTGCAGAGCAACCATGGCTTGCTCCAACTTGCTTGTTCTCGCATTCTTAAACTCACCCTTTCATTCTTCATCTCTCCGTGAAACTTCAGTGTTTCACAGCACCACCCACTCCTTTAACTATCAAAGTATCTTTTTTTCATCTCCAAGCAGAATGTGCAATTTAGACCACTTCCTCAGCTAGAACTCTTCATGTGTCAAAACAGGAGGAAACCACTATGATGGCCTACCCTCAAAAACCATCAAGTTTAATTCCAATCTTAGTTGTAACACCAGATCTTCCCTCCTAAAACCCATAACTTTTTGAAGCCGTATTCCCTACAAAATACAGTTGTTAGTTGGGGTTTAACCCGAAGTATGCTTTGTTTGTAACTTGTGATTTTAAATTGTAACATGCTTAACCTACAAATGCAAAACAAAACAAAACTTTCTTTTGTCTAAACCTTTTGGAAGGTTTTAGCATTCAACCCCAGCAAAATAAATGGAAACAGGATTAGCAAATACAGCTAACAATATCTGACTAACAGTACTCCTTGTTAGGAAAACCGTTCTTCCTTTTCCTCCCCCAGACTTCCCTGATGTACAATTCCCAAACAGTTAATATTTTGGAGATATTAAGATTCTTCAATTAAGCTTTGGTGCTGCCGCAGTAGAGTATGGCAGAGCCTGAATTCTCCTGCTCTAGTTGGAAGGGTAGCACTGAGAAAGTTGACACTGATCAGCAGTGCTTGTTTGTTTGTTTTGTTTTTAATTAAAGTTTCCATTCTTAGTTTCATTAAGAATAAAAAAAATACTAAAAACTCTAAATTAATTTTGAGGAGCTGCAGTTTGGAAAGCAATTTCCTAAGCTCTGACAAGGTTTTCATTCTCAGAACAAACTAACAGTCTCTAAACTAGCTATTATGCCAAAGAGAACTATGAGTTTCCTAATGGCACGTGGATCTCTGCCTCTCATGCTAGACAGTGCTATAAGCAGAAAACAGCATGGCTCACATCATTCACAAATGTAACACAGAAGTCCAAATCAGAGTGGTAGAGTGAAATACTCTACAATGCAGCTAAAGTTTCTAACTATTTTATGAAAGAGTTCTACACAAGCTGTCAGAAAAGTTGTTCTAAGCATATGAAAGACAAACAAGAGAAAAAAATTAAAAAGAAAAGCAAAGATTTATGGGTTGTTATGGAAAACCTAAACACTGAAAAATGCTAAAAATGAAATATATCTCTACTTTTCCTGCACATTAACTGCTGTAATCAGAACTTTAAAATACAAAGTCCTTCACTTTTAACTCACAAGCAATGGTTTAGATAATCCTTTTGACAGTCACCTTCCAAGCCTGAATCAACGACATCTAATCCATGGTAGAGCAACTACACACCACCTCTATGTGAACTCATGCCATATGAGCTCATTAGAAAGCACTAACTTGTTCAAAGAGGTAGATGCCTTTTTCCTCTCACTTGAGTAACTTGAGATTTTCTAATCACTGCTAAAGTGTATCAGCAAGACAGAACTTGGAGCAGCAATTTGAAGTTCTTAGGAACAGCATTACATTCAAACTAAGTATTTTTAAGAAATACCACATGAACTTTTACACTGACACAAAGACATCAATTCAGGTGTTTAAGAACAGGCATCTATGCTACTAGCATTTGAGACACTTCAGAACAAGCTATCCACATGGGGTCAGCAAGCACGACACAGGATGCAAGAGATCCTTGTCATTCTGAAGTGACAAGGACACATTATACCATCTAAACTGCCACCAGAGACCTAGATTAGGCAAGTGAATCGTCCCCACATAAATATTCCAAGTCACCAAACCCAGAGCATTTAATTAAAGCACACTAGTTTTGAAAAGACTAAAGCTTGAATTCTTACTTTCAGAATAGAATCACCTGAGACACTCAAGTAATCAGTAGGTGTGTGATCAGGATATCAACTGGAACAGCCACCCTAAATTGGGCCAGACTCTTCCACCACGAGACTACTACTGCTCAAACAATCTTACCTAACAACCCTAAAATAAAAAATAAATTAATTAATTCTTAGAGAAAGATTGGGCGCAAGAAGAATTCTAACAGTAAACAATTTCACTTGCATTGATATTAATCAGAATAGTAAGGTTGGGTGTTGTAAGGGTGAACATCATCTCTCCAGTCAACACTGTTGGGCAGAATGATTGATTACACATACAGGCCAAGTTCAGTTAACTAAAGGGGGTTTTGTGGATAAAAGAACATAGGAACTATTAGTGACCATCAGTCACTAAACATATCAAACCTTTTGCTCTTCCGGTGCATTTTTGCAGCAGAGATCACAAATTAAAAAAATTACAAACATGAGACCAAGTATTTTTGAAAGAGCCACCACGAGTAACTCAGTGGCACTCTCCAGGTAGCATGGTGATTCCAGGTTCTAGTCACCACTTTCCAATCAGTTTTGCATGTTCAGCATTCATCTAAGGTACAGTATGCAAATGTGCAACAAATTACTTGTTCTGTTCCACATGCTACCCTTCAGTTCTTTGCTGCCTAAAGGTATGTCTCCAAACAAGGGCTGATCTCCATTTGAAGGGACAGTTACCATAATACTTGAAGTGAACCTTATGGCCCTTCAGCTACAGAGGCATTAGAAAGCTAGTAGTGGGGCAGTTAATGACCTGGTCAAGATACAGCGGTTGGCAACAGTATCTCCAAAATGTTTCCAAAAGAAGACATATGCAGTTGAACTGTATAAAGATCCTGACCATCCCAGTGTAAGCATTCTGACTGGACTGGGTCCCTACAGGACTTCAGATGGGAAACTTCCAATTTGTTGATGTCATTAAGTGGAGGCTTGAAAGGGACAGTGAACTGATCACTGCTGCCAATGAAGTGATCTGTTTGGACCCTAGGTCTCTGTGTGTGGCAGTATGTTTAACTGGCCAGGGAGCAGTTTCTGACAGTAAATGCCAACTGGTACAGAACAGCTCATAACTATCCCAGCATATCCTCCAACCCATTAAAATTGTGTGACTGTACCAAAAATCCTTAGTGGCACAGTCCCTGGAGCACTCCGATGTCAAACTCTGCCTAGAGCTCTCTAGAAAACTGCTAGCTAGCACCCATCAGAAGGCAAGGGAATACTCTTAGGAGTTTATAAATCATATTTCAACACCCAGGAGCTCCCCCCCAGGCACTATTTCTTAGTACAGAAATAGCCCAGAAACCTAGAAAACATCACTAAATTTAAATTCAGACTTGACAAGGGTTGACACTTACTGTGAAATTCAACCTAAGTTCTAATGGAGATGCCTTAGCTTTTCTTCTTGACCTGATGATCCTTGGGTGGTGTTTTCATCATTTGGTCAAATCCTAGCTTGGTCAGCTTCACAGCTCAAAAAAACTCAAGTCCCTACTAAAGCACACATAAACTGTTAAATAATCACATACACATCTTTCCAATATACAATCAGCAAGCAAGAGAAAAACCACTGAACAGAACTCAGAACAAAAAACGTATGACAAAACAGAATGGATTGTGATTTTACTTCTCATAGGTGAGAGGCTGTGGAGTAAATAGTTATGACAGTGGGGCTGTGGACAACAGAGAAACCTTCTTGTTTCCTACAGACCACTGGAAGGTACGCTTGGAATGAAACAAGAGCTCCATGGCCACACTTGTCACTATTATATACTGCAAATGGAAGCCAAATGCTAAAATTAGTACAATTAATTCCATACTCATAATATATTTCATATATTATTTGATCTGTAGCATTAGGCTGTACAAGTTTTATTTGTAAACTATTATATATGTATCTACATTCAACAATGCAGCCCAAAACTGCATGGCAAACTACATTACAAAAACTGCGAGTAAGAATAGGTAATTAAAATAGCTGTAAAGACATACTAATAGAGGAAGGTATCAACAAGTCATACAGGGAATGCCTTGGTGAGAATTCAAGTTCTAGCTGCTACAGCAGGTTAGAATTCTTAGAGCGCAATCCTGACTTTCAGCTTTTTATTTCAGTCTGTTAGGTGTCTGAGAAATTTCACAGCTCCATCTCA